GCTCTTGGTGAAATGACAAATACAGACAGACGATCACTTTTAATACAGTGTCTGTTAGGTTCAGCCTTATCATCCCTATGGTCTGATGTTCAAGGATGAAGCCTCATTAATATATACACTTAGTTTGCAGTACAGAAAAATGCTCTTTATGTTAAAGAGAAACAGAGTCTATCCACCTTTCAGATAGACCAGTAGCTGTTAATTTGGAAACAATGACATAACAAACATGACTTCACTCCCATTTCCAGACTGGCAGAGCTATCAAACACACAGCTGGTACAACGGCAGTGCTGTAACAGCCGAACCTCCAGGTTAGCGGACAGCTGGAGCCATCACAGGCTACTCTAATCTGAAATTATTAATCTCAAACAAATGGAGATTTACTGGTTTCATATTTGTGTAATTCCACAAAATTAATGATATGGTGATATAAGGAGACCAGAATCAAATAAAAGGATGTCAATTACCAAGTAAAAAATTGGCTTTCAAATTTCTACAGCTGAAACTTCACCACTAAGACAATGTACCTATGCTTCCAGCAGCCACTTATGCTGTGTGGGCTCAGCTGTATTCAGGTGCAGATAAAAAAAATACACACACACAGACACACACACAAATATATATCTTATTTACATATATTGCTTTAGATATGTTTGGCAGTCTTTCATATTCCCAAACTCACGACAGTTTGGGTTCCATTTCTAAGTTCTCCAGCTTCAAATACTGCATCTTAATTCTACTTAATGAATTAGATACGCTTTAGAGCTATAACAAACTTTTCTCGTGAAGATATTTCTGAAGCATTGAGTCACATTGCTTACTGAGAATAAATACCTCAATAGTATATTTATGTAAATAATTTAAAATCCAAGAGCACAGTAGGTAATAAAAATATATTGCCATGATAAACCATGAAACCAGAGAACAACGTTGCTTTAATTAAAAATTATAAATACACTGCAGTAAACAACTTATTTACACGTAGTTAAAAGTCTAACTATTGAATATCCCAGATTTCTTGAACCTAAAAAAGCAAAAAATACTGAAAACCAATCTCTTCACACAGACAAATATTGAGGACCGTAACTGTGTTTAATTAAGATCTACTGTTAATAATGGATTTCAGAGAGTGAGCTGCTTCTTTTAATTTCCCAAGGTAGAAAATGTTATTAAATTTGGCCTTTAACTTCTCATTGACATGTACACTTGAAACTTCTGATTAAAATTTCAGAGGTTGGGAAGAAGCACCCAAAATTAAACTCTTAAATCTGGCACAAAAATAACAATGATCCCTGATTAAGAAATCAAATTTCAGAAACTTCATTACTGTTCTATTAATAAATTGTTGGGTTATAATTAAGATGGGGCCTGCTGGATTTCTTTCATTTTTTAATTCTAAAAAAGTTGGAAACTGTAGAGGGAATTAAGTACTTTTAAAAAATAGGTTAATGAATATAAGAAATGTGATCCAACTTGAACAGGTTCCTTTTCTTTCTGGGAATGATCACAGCAGAACAAACATTGTTTTCCACCCAAAGGAAATCATAGATCTGAGTACAGTTGTGAAAGTCAGTGTTAACCTAGTATTAAACAGGGATAATTTAGAGTAAGATGAAACTTGATGCCTAGATTATTGAGCTGGTTATTATGAGCATGTGGTTCTTGTTTCCAGGATGGTATTTCTACCTCTATCTTGATTTTCTTTGAAATGTTAACCTCAGTAGATCAGAGAAGAGCTGACACCATGAAAGTTCAGTGCTAATCATGTGCAGACAAATAGCCAGAGCCCAAGCTACCTGCTTTTGAGTCTTACAAATACTTGGAGTCATATTTTTTTTCAGTGTAATACATTTTTGCCTGCTTGTTTGAGCTTTTAAATGAAATTCTTTCTCAGTCTGCAAAAACACTTTAAGCTGAAGAAAGAAAATTGCTTCAAAAGTACAGCTGTCTTTAGGAATTTTTACAAAGTGAGCCACATTTTTCAAAGAGATAAGTAATTTGAATCTGATTCAGATATTCAATGTTCAAAGAATAAATTCAATCTAGATATGGACAATGGCACAAATGGTTTCTATACACTATTCATGGTTCTTGAAATGCATTTATGATGTTATATATATGATGTAACTAAATTTCCTGATTACAAATAATCATCAGCCCTTCCTACAGGTTTTATATAGAAAAATAAGTAAAAATATCCCTGCAGTTAGACACACCTCAGCTGTTCTAGGTTGAAAATAAGAGAAGGAACGTTACTAATTCTCTGTTGTTCTTTTGTTTGTATCCGTCTCCACTTCTGAACAGATATATACTTTGTTGGGGGTGATGTACATCGTTCGCACAGCACATGCAATACAAATCTGGTATTCGTTGCTTCTTGCAGACACAAAACATTGCTTGCTTGTGATCAACAATATTTAGTGTAATATCTCATTTAAAAGTCTGTATTGTGCCTGTTTGGCCTTTATTTTACCTGTATAATCATAGTAAGGACTCTGATGATATCATTTACCACAGCATAGTCTGAGAACCATGTAGTTTGGTATGCATTCTCTATAAAAGTCCTGGACCTAGGCCCAAGCTCTAAACACACACCTGCCTGGAGGAACTTATGAGAAAACATTTCGGCCAGACCCAAGCTAGTGAGTAGCTTTGGCCTTTATACGTGCAATTTTACACTATTCTTAATTGCAGATGCTGTTCTCATATACTACAGTCTTCCTTTTTCACTGCTAGTAGCTATGTGTGTGTTTCAATAATACCTGTCAGTGTTAAAAACATCTTTTAAAAATGCTATTTTATGCTTTCTTGTTATTTAGCAGAAAGATATACAGGTAGTCAAATTAGCCTTTCCTGAATCATTCCACCATTTCCCAGATTTCCATTACATTTTCATTATTTTTTTCTAACTTATATAGCCACTTCCTTTTACATACCTTCCGTATGTGATCATGCTTCATTCCCAACCTAATCTAGCTTATTTCTGCTCTTCTTTTCTGCGCGTGCAGGGTAAGAAAAGAAAAATCTTGCTTTCAGCTAAAAACCTTCCAGGTTTTGGCCATGCAGATGTGGTAAAACTTCTGGGAAAATTCTGATTAGATTATAAGGTAGTTATAGTCAAGATTTGAGAGTTCCTTTACAGCCAGTTGTGAGATGTGGTGGACCGCAAAAAGTATTTATGTTACTTAACTGGTGACACACAATACTTAAAGCTAACAGAGTTTTCAGTGACTCATTGGTATGCCCTGTAATTTCAATGTCAATGAAGTTAGAAAAAATTCAGCAAAATCAGTAGGTCAGGGGGAGGGAATCAAATAGTTTCTGTATTGCTGATTTTGATAACCAAATCCTTATATTTTCTTGGCTTTTCTCTTTTAGCATCACAAAATCAACTGTAGCATTAATTAATACGACTTTTCTTCTCTCCCATGAAAATACATAAAGTTATGGAGAACTTCAATAATTATGTTTCTTAAACTAAGTCCCAATCCCAAAGGGAATAAATAGCCTTTCCTTACAGAAGCCAGGTTCTGAGTAATGCTGCTGAGGGTCAAATTGCTGTATTTCACAAGCAATAGAAATTCCACAGCTTTTCCATCAATAGACACAAATCTGTGTGACCACAGTGAATGAAATAAGGGATCTTTGGAGCAAAAACTAAAATTAATAAGAAAAATGCATTCTGTAAATAAATACAGTTAGAAAATGACGTATGTTAAGAATAAACTGATATTTCAATGCCAGAACTCAAAGGCATTTTTGATAAAGAAAAACGGAAATATTTGTACTCCAATAACTAGGTATTTTTGAGGTGATGCAGAGAATTGACACTTTTAATTATCTGCCTTGCCTTTTTCCTCCTTCCTTGGTGATGAGCACACTCACCTGCTTAAATTCACCTTCTCATCATTTCAATCCAAGGCTGTCAGTGCAGTCCTTTGCAAGGGCATGCTTACCAACATTTGTTACTGACAGAGAACATCTTCAACATCAGAAGCTTTCTTTTTTTGGAGAACAGTACATATGACAAACCTTCTTTAAGGAGTGCACAATCACTGCTAAATATCACCCTGTGATAGCAGAGAAATCTACGGCTATGGTATAGATTAACAGTGCATATTGTTCAGGTAAAGCTTTGAAGTCATTCTCACAAAGATGTTTATGCCCTTTTACATACATTGTACATACATTTACGTAGGGGAAGTGAGGTTCACAAGAAAGAAAGAAAAATTAAACACAGATGTGGATTTTAGTTTTAGTGCCTAACCTGCAGTTCTCCAATGCTGAGAAAAGCTGCCTGGAAAGTCAATTTAGTGTTAAAGAAAGTGGTTGATCTTTCATTTCTCAACAAATCTAAAACCCAAAGACCAGAGCAGGTGGATCAAAATATAAGATGATGGCACCACTTAATACCCTAGGTTTGCTCCTTGCGACATGGCATATGTGTGGGATTATATTATCATAGCACAGAAATAATAATTTCCTTTCATTTATCTGGGCAAGGCCAAGTCTTAGCTTACTGTAGCTTCAGTATTTCACTGGGAAATATTTTCTCAGCCCTTGAACGTGGATGAACTGTCATTATTTCACTAAGGGACATCATAAATGATCATAAACTGACTTGAACCATATGTAAACCAGATAAATTATTTCTACACACATTTTCAATTTTTACTCATTTTGTCTGGCTCTCCTGAAGGAAGAGAAATAAACAAGCAGGTTAAAAGTAATTCTGAAACACTATGCAAAGCTATGTCTATTGCTCATGACACTCGATTGTTCTACTGCAGTAATCAACCTGGAAAACTACTGCCCCTTGTCTAATTCAGTTCCTTGTTTTCATCATACCGAATCCTTCCATTTCAGAAAAAAGAAAAAAGCCACTTATTATGTAGAGCCCAAAAAACTTTAATTTAATTCTGTAGCTGGCAGGCAAATTCTTGGGTGCAAAAGATGTACTCACTTTCTGATGGATGAAAATGAGAGGGTACTGTACTCACCTGATAGTCTGATGTTGCAAAGTATCTGGATCAGTGGCATTTACCGTTAACACAACACTGCCAACAGGGATGTTTTCTTGTTTTGTCACTGTCATTGGGTTTGGGTGGAAAACTGGGCCTTCATTCACATCCTCAACAGTGATCTGAACTGTTGCTGTGGAACTGGGGCCATAGGCTATGTCTGGAATCAGCGGGTCTTCATTTTCTACTTTGATGAGCAACGTGTGGAACGCTGAAATCTCATAGTCTAAAGGCTGTAAAACATATCATAAAATCAGAGTGCAAGGTGCAAAGACAGCACTTAACACTTTTTCCTTGTAAGCCATTGTAAACTTGCAGGAAATAGAATTAGCCAGAAAGGGACAACAGCATTCATTGCATCTGATACTTGGTCAGAGTTTAGCATTAGACACAATGGCAGTTATAAAGTGCATTGAAGATAATGGACTTAATGAAAGATGGAGATGTCCCTCTATCCAAGAGCATATACTTTTTTGCCATAACTCATGCATATAACTCAATACTCAAATATTCATACTTATTTATGATGTAATGTAATGTGCGTTTAGCAAACAAACCAGTCATACTTAGTGGCTACTTATGATAAGCAACATAAGGCTTATCAACTCCTACCTTGAAATCAAAAGCAGCACCATGGAAATAGATGCCATTTGTCTTAAGAATTGAAAATGTCTCTTCTGAAGTCAAACAGAGAAAATTCTGGTACAGGCAGCAGCCAGGGCTATTTGCTTTTTTCTTTTTTTTTTTCTTTTCTTTTTTTTTTAAAGTATGAGATATAGGATTATCTTCAAAAAAGACAGGCAATAATTTTTTTCATGAGACTTTAGAAATGTGGGACCAAAGATGGCTCTCCAGTTCAGTCTGAAGCTGTGTCCCCTGCTTCCCTGGTATTTGCATCTGCGTTCTCTAACTGAGGAAAAAATGTATCCCTTGAATTCTAATTGTACCCTCAGCCCCAAACAAAACTTTGTTGTAAAGTCTCACTATGAAATGTGGTGCTTACTGCAAAACGAGCTGTTATTTAAGCACAACGGCAATATAGTTAGCAACAGGCAGGTCCTTGTGACTAAAGAAGTAAAGCTACTGTGACAGAAGAAGGGGTTATACATACTGTTTGGACAAGGGCTGGTAGCCAACTATATATTAAGTAACCTTGCTTAAGTATCCTTGCTGTGCCTCTCTTATGCAGTAAATCCCATGGGTGGCCTTACAGTAATAACACAGTACAACAGCAAATTGTTCTTACTTTGACAACAGAGAGCATTCCCTCATTAGTCTGGGGATTGGTATGGATTTCAAAACTCTGCCCTGGATTTCCATTAATAATGGTGTAGACAGCTCTCCATGCTCCAGTTGCTGGGTCATCTCGGTCGCCAACTGTTAAGTTTACTATTACACCTGTGACTCCCTCCTTCACTGTGGCTTGAAACTAGAAAAAAAACATAGTGGAAATTGTTACTATTTCCAATTAATGACCACACACACACGTGAAATATCCAAGTCAGCATTAATTATTTACCACAACAGGAGAGAAAGATGTAATCCTTGACTGAAACTGAATGTTATAAGCTCTAAATAATACATTCTCACTCATGAAATATAAGGTAGCACATTACAGCTGCTCTCCATTTAATAGATGGCAGAAAAGCAGCAACATGATAGGAGTCAAGCTTTGGAAGATTCTGATCACAAGACAGTTCATCTCATATTACTGGAAAAGTGAATCCTGAAAATATATACAGTGTTGCATAGGTACATATGCTATCAGAAAGGGAACTATACTCACAGCTAAGCAGAAGAGGAAGCTGACTAATATAGCCCATACTTGCCCTTGAATGTACTATTATTTACATTTTGCATTTCAGACTATTATTTTCATAATTTACCCCACCCATATCAATTTTTCACTACACTGTTATTAACACGTAAAATATTTTTCCCAAAAAGTGTTCCCATATCCTTTTTTGGAGAAGTTTTTCTAAGAGACTCAAAAATAATTGGACCTCATGCTACCACTTGGTCTGCAAAATTAAAAGTCAGTGTTACTTTCTTTTTTCAGTGGTAGAATTTTGTATGACCTTGTGAAGTTTGTTGCACTGCTGTACTGTTCAGCTAGCCAAGCCCTATGAGAAAATTCTAATTTACTATTCCAGACAAACAGTGTATAACATCATTCTTATTTATGTAGGAAAAACATTAAGCAAACCATTGGAAAAGCTTGTAAGGGTCAGACTTAATAATACTCCTCACCTTTCAAGCACTTGAGGCTGACACGCTAAAAGCTCTGTATATAAGAGTGATAAGATAATACCTGCTTTATAGGTGGATAAACTGGAATGATAACATACCTAATCCTGAGAAGTGCTGAACATCAGCAGTACCATTATAGATCATTAGAAAATCTTAGCATTTGTAGGGATTAAGTCTTCAAAAGCCCAAAATTACAAACTTTAATGACACAAATAGGCTTTGCCGTACGTGCACTGCTTAAAAGCTATATCTTCGGTGACAATATATCACTCAAGGGCAAAAATCACCCAAGTGGCTTCAGGCCTGAATAGACTAAATATCTTTTGCTCTGTCTTATATCCCACATGAAGTCATAACACTGCAGAAGATTTTGTGAGAATAGTGAATCCAAAAAACGGCATTTTATTAATATATATATTTCACGATCTGGACAAATAGTAGGTAAAATGGATTTCCTCACAGTAAAATACTGAGGAGACAACTATGTATTTTCCTGTGTTCAGTTATCTTTCTTTTTTCAGTTCTTGCAATAGATTTGACTTCTGTTTGCAAAGCTTTTCCGATATAGCTGTATAATTTGAGTGTATACATTCAGTTCAAGCTTTCCAGCCTTAAACCTGATTTTATAAAAGGATGACATTAATGATTGGCTATTTCTATCTTCTTTGGTATATTTAACAAAGAATTTAAAGATTCTTTTGATTTTGATAGTTAATATGTAACAGGTTGTGATTGAGCTTTGTTTCAGCAGATCATTAAGCTCATTTGCAGTTTAATTAACTCTCAACGATAATATAACAATATTTTCACTTGCTTTGAAACAAATCAAAAGAAAAACTGTATTAAGAATCTTGGAAATAACACAGGAATGATTACCAAGTTGTATTCCACCCTGCTCAGCAAAATGCTGTCACTGGAAAGCACACTTGGACACCTCTTCCTCTAATTGAAAATAAGCTATTAGCCAGATTGATATTTTTGTATTATTTCATATTGTCTCAGCTTGAGCATGCATAAAACGAGACATCAGATCTGTAGGGGCCAGAATTTTTCTCAAAAAGTGTTCAGTACCAAACAATTCCTATTTAGCCATGTAAAAGGGTGACTAGACTTCAAGAAACCTAATCCTAAAGAATCTAACCCTTAGATTTGACTGGGCATCTGCTTTAATTCATATTGATCCTTCTGAAAAATCCATTGCTTAATCCACTAGTCTGATTCAATTAAGTGTTCGGTACTCCCTGGATCACCTTGGGAACAGTAAGGCTTGTTAGGGTGAAATATTTAAAGATCTGGCTATTTTATTCAGATACATAATTGTGAAGCCAGTGAGACAAATTTATTATGCTTACCCCACCAGTGCCAGACTACAATGGAAAAGGTTGCCATGATACGCTACCTAGTTCAAAAATTACTGAATGTCAATTTAAGGATATCTAATTCAAGGATTTCTCAGCTGGGGTTGGCTTTCTTCTGCGTTCCTATTTTCTCCTTACTTAGGAAGAACTCTCAGTAGCTTCAATTGCAGTGAGTTAGTAGTGCAGAAAGGGCACATAGGCTTGCTGGGGGCATAAAACTGCAGAGCTTCTGACACCTGCAGATGAAGGAAATGACAACGTCTAGAGGCAAAGGCTGTGCCAAGCCAAGTAATTCCAAGCATAGTGGACACTCACCCCTAACATTCTTTGCATTTTAGATTTGACCACATAAATTCTGTGTTTATTTATTTGAAGCTGTCTGCAACATTAGACTAAAATCTGTTTAAGATGGATGAAAAAGCAGAATGATCAAATCACAGAAATTGTCACATGGGTCTACTCTAACTTTATAATGTAAAAAGTGTAATAAATCACAGATTTGTAATTGCAAAAGACAAATATCCACTGTGAAATAGAGAGGCCCAGAAAAATATAGTGTATATTATCTAGAAGCCAAACTCTTTTGCCTGTTCAGACACCTTTATATAAAAAACAGACCTCCTAGTATTCAGAAAAATCTGTTATATTTATATTGGGTCCCTTTCAAAAACACAAAAAAGGAATTTTAAACCTATGAAAGGATAAAAATAGGAACTAGATTTGCAAACAGAGAAAATATAAACACAGGTTCACCATATTTCAAAATGAAAAGTTTACATTCTCAGAGCACAGGCTTAACTGGGAGAGTCTGATCCAGTGCTCTAAAATAAAACCCCATAGTGGCTAACACAAATAATTGGATCACAAGTTAATTGATTTTACTCTTTTTAAATATCTGCACATCCCAAAAGCACCACTATAAATTAAGAATAAAATAGATGAGTTCAGTACTTTATTTAAACTGCTATCATCTGGACCCATATTAAGAATAATAACGTAGAAGGCAAATACCCCGGGGCCAGGGTTGCATTTGGCTGGAAGGAGCTATGTTCATTTACTACAGCTGAGTATTTGAATACATAAGGTTAACTTGCTCTGTGGAGTGATACGCCATATTGCCATTTATTGTGTTTGTCATACATACAGCCTAGAAATCCTAGTAATCCTGTCATGTTTAGAAATTTATAAACATAGGAAAAAAAAAAAAAAGACCCTATTACCCTTTTTCTGCACCCAAAAGCTTATGAAAAAATACAGAAAGAGAGACAACAGACTGGTAACAACTTAGAAAGAAATAATGAGTCAACAGTGGCCAGCAGTCTCCTTTAATCATCAGGTTTTTGTAGACAAATTAGACTTTTAACAGGGAAGTGAAAGACATCAAGGAAATACGGTGATGGATGTAGATGAAGAGATCCTCCAAGAGCGTGAGGGTAGCTTGGGAGGAAGCACAAGTAGACTTGAAAATGTAATGAGTGAGCAATGTTTGCTGTCACGGTGGACTAATGGGGAGTAGGTATCGACCACTAGACATTCTTTTGAGAGATCACAAAGATAGTTCCACTAGGCATGGAGGTCCCTGAAAGTGAAAACAAACAGTTTGTATTTCTTACAACAAAGGAGTCAGTAAAGGGATGGCAAGGAGATGAGTAGCATTTAAAACAACTGTGTTAGAATACAGCCTATTGACAGCACCCAGGATAGGTCTGAGCAGAAGAGAGGCCCCAGTTCAGCAGTCAAACTCTACCCCTCCTTACCTGCAGCTTGGAAATCTACTCCAAACTACGTGCAAAGCTTGAGAAGATAAAATAAAAAAGTACGGTTCCAAGCTGGCAGGAATTTTATCTTACTGAGTATAGGAAATTCAAGATGGCAGGTATCTACTGAGAATAATTAGGGCTGCATCAAAAGCTAGCTGAAGGGGATGTCAAGTGGGGAAACAAACAAATTGAACCACAGCTTAATTTTAGTAGCTGTTTCATGGCAGAGCCAGGATATAACATAACACTGAGCCAAATCCTCCTCCTCACTGAGCTCTACAGCAAACTGGTGGGACACTGTAGTGACAGTCCCCACAGAACAGCAAAATGGCTCAGTAGGATTTCAGGAAAAACCAATCTTGTCAGATGTCTGCCATAGGGCAGATACATGAAAAGACCACTTTGTAAAACGTTATCACCTTGCAATCCAGACATTAACCCCATCTCAGCCTCAAACTAAACTGGAAACAGTATCTAGCCTCCATGAAAACTGGATTCTTATCTGACAGCCTTATTTAAAGCTTCTGTAGTAAGTGAGGTTTTATTTACTGGCTTCTCAGAGCACAGAGGAACAAATGAACTTAACTGCATCAGAATCACCTGAATGTCTACTGTCCAGCAACAGCACGAGCATGCAGTAATAACCTTAATACCTTTATGAAGCCACCAAATAACTGTCTCAAAGTGGGATACCGATATACCCAAATTAAAGAGCTGCCACAAGCAGCAAACACAATGCAAGATAAACGTGTCTGGGATTGGTGATCACTACCCTATGGCTCATTAAGATTCTGCATGCTGTGATTCCCAGTCAAGAACAAACAAATTAAAACTGCATGTCAGTTTGCATTTATCAGGGCAACACTCCAGTTGAAGGTATTCTGTCCTACTATCATGTGTTTGTTTCCCCATCTATATATCATAAAAGATAAGAAACAATGGGATATATTAATTCACATGTCTCTGTTAGAAATTCCCCAGGGAAATTGTATTATTGTATTTGTCCTCCTCCACTGAAGTCCACTGCTTTTGCAACCACATTTTGTCTACTTATGTTCTTG